TGGTTAATATTCCTTCTATCAATAAAAATATCCGCATATAATTTTTATTACAAAATTCTTATACAATTTATTTTTTAAATAAAAAAATGCAACTTCTAACACATTTTTTACTTTTCAAAAACAAGAAAAGCATACAAATAATATCATATCATACTCCCATACGGTTGTACTGATTCTTTTATTATTTTTAGGGGAGTTTGATAGAGGAGAAATTTTTTTTTATTCAGAAATTACGATTTCTAAGAATATGATAGGAAAATAAGTTTTCTGGGAATGTTACCAAAAAGTTGTTTGGTAGATTAAAATATTCCTGGAAATATTGGGTTAATTTTCTTGATGCTATATTTAGTTTTATTAAATTTTTCCTTGCCATAAAAATCCTAGAATACCACTCACTGGATGGTATTTTCAAAAAAATTCACACATAAAATAAAATCCCGAAAAATTAGATTCCCTGAATTTTTTTAAAAAACTTGTACCAAATGTAAATAAATACGATTACCACTTCCAGTTTTTCAGGAATCCTATAAAAATCCTTGTAACAAGCGCCCCCTCAGGGGGCGTTTGGTTCAGGAATTTTTTTTGAAATAGTAGGAAAATGAGATAGATAGAGAAATGATTGGAAAGATAGATAAAGTGAGATAGGTAGAAAAATGTAAAAAAAAGTTGTTTGGTGGGGAAAAACTTTACTGGGAAAATTAAGTAACTTTATGAAATAATAGTGCGTTAAAAGCCAGATAATCGGTTTTTCGAAAAATCCCACCTTCAAATTGGGTTTCTAAACAGTGCGGATATCTATGTTTCTCATAAATCCAGACAAATTGGATAGATGAGTTTTTGGTGAAAAACGTTGAAACAAACATGGTATTTCTAAAAGCCATACTTGAGAAAGATAGATATCCGCTGAAAAACTCCCAACCAAACACCACCTTAGGGTGTTTGATAGAGGGTTTTTTTTAAAAAAAATTCCTGAAAAATTGAAGGTGATAACCTAAGTTACTCACGTTTAGTAGATGATTTTTGAAAAAAAAATTGAAAATTGGTTTTTTCCGATATTTTATTTTGTAAGTAAAATTTAACCAAAAATACCATCCAGATTCTCAGAAAAATGAAAAATTTAACACATTTTTAGCAATATTTTATAATAAACCAAACATAATATTAATAAAATTGATCCAACATATTCAGAAATATTTTGGCCTACTAAACAATTTTTTTGTAACATTCTCAGGAAAATCAATTTCCTATTATATTCCTGAAATTTTGATTTTTCAGATAAAAATAATCTCTTCTACCAAACGACGTTTAAAGAATCGCAGCTTCAAATTCTGAGACTGAAAGTGAAACGTGAAGAATGTTTAGTCTGATTCAGGTGATCAGCATTGGACTCTAAATCACTTTGTTATTGAAATTCGATATTATGTTATGAATAAATTCTTTCTAAAAATTTAAATTATTTATATGAAAATATATTAATAATTTTATATTTTCAATAAATTTTTTTATGGCTTTTCGTCTTTTATTTTCTTCGTCATTTCTCATTATAACAACAACATTATAGACTCATTTAAACGAGCTTTTGAAAAAATGTTTTTTAAAAGCTAAAATTATTTTGTATTCGGATAAAATGGTTAAAAGACATTTTTTAACTGAAAAAATTATTTAAATGTTAAAATTAAAAAATATTTTTATGTATAGAATTATAAAAAGGACATGTGAAAATAAATTACAAAAATAAAATTTGGGGTTGGGCTAATAATAATAATAAATTTGATAGTGGTGGTAATTAAAGGTATTGATGGTAGAGATGACGATGGCGATGGTAGTATCCTAATTTTCTACCTTTCTTAATTATAGTAATTTTAGTAATAAAATGTGAATGATGTGATTTTTTAAAATATTTTTTTATTAAAACATGGTAATTTGCGATCATTACAAAAAAAAACTCAGGTTAATTATATGGGTGATGCTCATAGGAATCAAATTAATCCATGCAACAAGACATATAATCCTGGTGGAGGAATCATCCCAATCTTTTTACAAGCCACAACCACAGCAACAAGTGAAAATGTAACAAGGATCTTTATCTATCTTGGAAAATGCACATTTGCAATTAAGAGTCAAAGGAATTCATGCAGGAGACCCATCATCATTCAAGAATCAAGAGGCATTCACAAGGAATCTTGAAAATCAAATTGGGCAACTGTCTAAGTAGACGGCAGAGAAGGCTCAAGGTACTTTTCTAGGGGACGTTGTTGTGAATCCTAAGGAGTATTGTAAGGACATAACTACTAGAATTGACTTAAATGTAACTTAATATTAAGATCCCTTATGTGCTCCCTGAAAAAATCCCTTAATGCAATTAAAAAAAAAACATATATTCATATGTATATGCATAAAATTAAGATGTCGAGAAAAAAATGCAGAGTGGCAAATAAAAATGAGATAAATAAATTATAAATTAATTGTTATTCCTAAATGATAATTATTTTAAATTCATATTTAAAATGTTAATAAAATAATATTTAATCTTCTTTAAAAAAACAAAAGTTTAGATTAAGAGAAGATATCTCAACTAGAGAACACTATTAACCTCATTGAAAATTAAAAGTGGGATTACAAATCACCTTCTCAAGATGGAGTTAGAGCTATGTTTTTATCTCGTAATGTGTGAAGTATATTGATGTGTGGCTGCTCAAAGTAGTCCATAAGTGCTATCTCAGGTGAGGCCGTAGATTTTGACGGAGTAACAACTCATGAAAATGATGATTTGCAGATACCTCCTCAGGTGGTGAAGAATGATATATGTAGCTGGAAAATATTCCCTTAAGTGATGAGAGAGAAGAGCTTAATCGTTTTGCCCAATATCTTACTATTGCGTGAGGTATTGCACCACAATCGTGCATGTGAAATAAGGGTGAGCTGCCTAATCGAGGTTAATGTGCTCATTATGGGAAAGTAGGGAAGTGATCCCTTAACAAGTCTTTGCATGCCGATCTAGAACAAGATCATACTTAATAGTCTTTGAATTGGTCTAGCCACAATATTTAAAAATCTATAATTACTGATATATTTTCAAATATATATATATATATAATAAGACTTCTTATATTAATACTTTATACATAACATGATAGTATTTTTAAAAAATATTATAAAATATGAGAGTGGTTATATTTACAACATCTTTTCCTTTACAACTACTTTTATAATTGTTGGATCAAAATCAAATCAACGATTACAAAATGACATTAAGTGAGAGTGATTATTGATTTTGATCCAATAAGCATAAAACTGGTTGCAACTTGCAAGAAGTTATAAGTATAATCTCCTTCATAAAACATATCTCAATTTTAATTTTTATAATTGTGAAATTTTATAACTTTACTCAATCTGGTTCGACCTAATTGTGCCATGACCATGGGTGGGTTGAAACCAAGTCCAAATCAATATTTTAAATTAAGATTAGTAGATCAGGTATATCATTGAAACGTGACCCACGAGCATTTGTAAGTTATATGTGGGGGATATGTTGCCCTGTCGGTGGGCTACAATAGTAAAGGACAGGCCCATGGACGTCACATTGTATGATGGGCCGGTGCTCAGTGGACCCACAACTCGAAAAGGTCCGAAAACTAACAAAAGAAGAGTCCAGCACATCTTTAGACCACCGCCCCAATTGGAAGTTCATGGCCAAATTATTTTTTACAAAAGTAATACTATTAACAAGATGTTTATGCAGCTTCTTACCACATATAACAAATATTGATTTAGTGTGTTATATAATATATAAAAAAGTAGGTGTGGATTACTAAGAAAAAGAAAAAGAAAAAGTAAATTTCATCTTTTATTTTATGAAAATAAAATAATTTTATTTCGTACAATATGAAAATGTATATTTTCAATAAATATATATATATATATATATATATATATATATATATATATATATATTTTTTTGAGAAAAAAAATTCAAAGTACATCTTTCGATGAGTGAATAGAAGATAGATTTTTTATAATGAAAAATAAGATAACTATATATATATATATTCCACTTCATCATTGTATTCGTGTATTATGTACATACCATATGCAATTCCTGTTTTTTTTTTCGGCATATCGTAAGAAAAAGTTACTGAATTATATTTTATTGTATATTCAACAGAATATGCATTTCCTTTCTTTCGAATAACAAAATATTGATCTTATTATCCATCAGGACTAGTTCTAAACTTAGTAATTATTTTAAATATATGTATGCGCCTATCTCTCTCTTAACACATCATATTTTAAATATATTGATGTAATATGGGCCAAAAGGGTGATTGGCAATTGGCTACACAAACGGCAAACCAAAAAGTCGGGAAAATTAGTGGAATTTGTTTATATATTAATGAGTAAATACCTTTTTGTCTCTAACAAAAAATACAGTCTCCACTTTAGTCCCTTACAAAAATAAATTAGTTAGTTAGTCCTTAACAAATTTAAAATGAACCCATTTAGTTGAAATCATGGTCTTCACAAATTCAAAAAAGACTCATATTAGTCCCTCAAGAGGACTAAAATGAGTCCACTTTGAATTTGTTAGGGATAACTAACTAATTTATTTTTATAAATGACTAAAGTGGAGACCGTGTTTTTTGTTAGGGATAAAAATGGTGTTTATTCTATATTAATTTGTCTATGCTTGAAACACAACCGTAAATAAAAATATAACAATAAACAAACCCAACGCCTGATTTTAATGTGTTCTCTTAAGTTAATAACAATAGATGGATGGATCCGAACAGGAATGTAGTACATTATATATATATTAAGCAATCTAAGCACAAAGTTTATAAATTATACAATTGACTAAGGTACCATGCCACAACACGGGCCAAAACTAGAACACAGCCTTAAAACACAAACCTAGGAGTAGGAAGGTGTTCATAACAACACACACCACATTTACTGAACTACACACTACTTGGTGCTTGGTGTGAAGTGAATGGTGGGCCCACGGACTATGGTCTTATTTGGGTCTAAGGGCACTTAGTCTTGTTGCCATGGGTTGTCATATCGGTATAGCAAGTCCCACAGACCTCCCTATTGCCAGAGGTACCAGGTGGAACACACTTGCACCTCACACAGCATGTCCCACATGCCCTAATGCAATATTTGGGCCTAGAATGAGCACCGCACCTCGCCTTGCACAATCCTCCGCAATCTACAAGGAGAATTCAAAAGGCATCAAATAAAGACACCAAAACTCGTTTATTTATTCGGACTTGAAAAAAAAACATTTTTGTCACAAAATAAAGAAAATAACTTAAGAAAGGATCAAATATTTTCGTTATTGTTTTTACCTATGGCTTGCATTAGCCTTCTGTTTCCGTCTTTCACAATGAGCTAAAAAGAAGTCCAACAAGAACATTATAAGATGAATGGTTATATCAAATTTTCAGCAAATCATGAAAGAAAAGAAACATACTGGCTCATCAGGAAAACGCAGTTCTTCATCTTCTTCCTTTGATATCTCCAGATCAGATGAAACCTGCATGACAATAACAACAAGAAAAGAAAAAGGGATAAAAAATAACCACTCTCAGCTTCAAGGATATATATAAATTAAACCTTAACAAAGGACTTGGAACAGAGGCGTTAATTAATTGGGTATGTTCAAAATGAAGCTAAAATTAATTAGTGCACCTTAGAAAAGCACACTAGCAGCAACATCCCAAACACAAGAAGCACGCGTAATGCCATTGTTGTGGACACACAACAAAGCACGCAAAGACTAGTTGTTTAGAATCTACGATTGAACTTCAACTTCAAGCAAGACTACTCGATGACCAAGCTTACTACGCATACTGGCATTTATATAGGCAGAAAGGGTACTCCCAAGTCCCAACCCATATTTTGCCACTTGATATTACCAAAATAACCCACTGTTTGGCATATTATAAAGGAAAAATATTTTCTTACATCACACACGAGAATTCAATTATCATGTTGTGATCTTTTTCTTTGTGTGTAAATTTTTTTTTTTAATAAATATGAGACCCACTACTAGTTAAGTGACAATATAAGAATTCAATTCTCATGCAACATGAAAAAATTAAATCTCTATTATAAAAGCCTGTCTTCGAGATTTTTTGGGATTTGTCAACCAAATGTCACAAACAATTTTTCTTTTATATTGTCGTTCCTGGAAAATAATTTTGTTCAGGACAAATTTAGAATTAAAATTTTACATTTCTTTCAAAAATAATATTAAAAAAAATTGAATATATTTTTTCATCTCTCACTCCACCCAGTCTCTTACATCAATTGAATTATCTTCATTTAATAAAAGGGAAAACTTCAAAACCCCAAGTTTTCTTAATTATCACTTACCCCCTCACAAATTTTTTGAATCATTTACACTCTTATTTAGATTTTTTTTATCACTTACCTCTCTGATTTAAAGTTTTTTTATCACTTACCCCCTCCTCACTGAGGGGGGTAAATGATAAAAAAACTTTAAGCCAAAAGGATAAACGATTCAAAATTTTGGAGAGGGGATAAATGATTAGGGATAGGATTTTATGACAACCAAATAATGTTATTACCAATGTTAGTACCACATCTTAACCGTTGATTTTCGTCAATCAACGATTATCATTTATTGCGAATTAATAATTAATTAATGAGTTTAATTTGAAAAATGATAACCGTTGATTGACGAAAATCAACAGTTAAGATATGGTAGTAACATTGATAATAAATTATTTAGTTGTTACAATATCCTATCCAAAATAATTATAAGTAAAGTCACAAACAATTTTTTTTTTGAAGTTTTCCCTTTAATAAATGTCACAATACTTCTGTCTTACGTGTTTGGAGCCAATGTCAGTCATAGTGGGAGTCGGTGCTTCAAATACACTAATTCGATTTCGGTTTTTCATTTTATTCTTTTATTATTTGTTCTTATATCATAGTACTATTTCTTATATTATATATTAATAATGAGAATAATATCTGTCATTTTAAATGATATAAGCTTATATCATTTAAGATCATAACCGTTGATTTTCATCTATTAACGATTATAGTCTATTGGGTCAAAATTATTAATTAATTAATAATAAATTTGGCCCATTAAATTTGACCCAATAGATTATAACCGTGATGGACGAAAATCAACGGTTAAGATCTAAAATAATATAAGTTTATATTCTTTTAAAGAATATATGTTTTTCCCATTAATAATTTAGTTTTATTATAATTTTTTTTTAAAAGTTCAAACTCAAATATTATACATAATTTTGGGTATATATACCAATTTTTCTGAATTATACATATGAGTAATGCTGCACAAAATGTCATTTTTTCTTTGGGTGCGTTATGATGACATTTAAAATAAAATAAAAACCACATACATTAAGAAATAAATCAAATAATACTTAGCTTCACATGTTTTGTATGATTTTTCCTCCCTGATATCAAATCAAATTTCTCATACAATTTTGTCGAAGAGGACAGGACCATGGTCCAACTCGAACAACTACTTTGTTTTGTTTTTCTTTGTCATTTTCTTTTCTTTTTTCCTCATTGATGGGGTCAAATTAGTCCAACTTGGTTGCATGCATCCAAATCGAAATGCATATGCGGGAGAAGGAGAAAAATCGCGACATTGACCATATTGCCACTCCTTTCATAAAAATTTACCTGATTGTCACTTCTGAAAAAAAATTTGCCAAAATGCCACGCCTGAATCTCGCTGGTCTGACAAGCGAGAATGGACTGGACACGTATCAGCGTCTGAATGGTCAACCATTCTCGCTGGGCCGCCCAGCTAGAATGACAGAATGCTGACACGTGGCAAAAGCACAGACATTCTCTGCATGTCTGTACTTTTGCCACGTGTCAGCATTCTGTCATTCTAGCTGGGCGGCCCAGCGAGAATGGTTGACCATTCAGACGCTGACACGTGTCCAGTCCATTCCCGCTTGTCAGACCAGCGGGATTCAGGCGTGGCATTTTGGCAAATTTTGTTTCAGAAGTGGCAATCAGATAAAATTTTGCCTAAAAAATGACAATATGGTCATTATCTCAGAAAAATCCCAAGTTGTTGAGATGACAGCATTGATTGCTTACAGCTAGATGAAGGCTGTAACCACTGTTCGGTGCACCCCTTCCCATCCTTTTCCCATAACTCCGTGAAACAACTAGCAAGAGCCCAACTCTGACACTATTAATATGATAGTATCAGTATCATCACTAGCAACGAGACAGAATTATAATGTTTTCATGGTGTATGTAATCAAACAAAAAATAATGATTTCATGGTGTAAAGTACCTTCCGTACTACCCCTGCACCAAAGCGTGTTTCAAAAGCTAAAGTTAAAAATATAAAAAAGATTCTTGGTTATTTTTGGCACAAGATACTTCTCTGATGACGATGTATTATTGTGGGACATGGTTATTCTTTAATCTAATTATAAGATTTAGTTTTTTAATATTAGTCTTTATTAATATAATGATGACAAGACTATTAAAAGGCTACGTAATTAGGGTAAAAAATATAGACTAATGTTGTTAATGTGGAATAAATTCAAATGTCTAACTCTGAATATATCTAAACCTAAATAGTAAAAAAACATAAATAGTAAAATATTTCCATCATCTACCAGAAAGGTTGCCCAGTTTTTTTCTTTTTATATTTATGTTTTTGGTAATAAAAGGTGGTCCAGCTGAGTTGTCCTACATCCTACTACGTACGTTTTTGACATTATTAGTGTTCCTCCAGGCTGGCTCTCGCATCAGCACAGCGAGCTGTGGGGTTTTATTTTATTTTATGTTTTTGGTGATTGGGCTAGAGGAGATTAGAAGTGGAACACAGGATCGGTCTTTGATTTGTTTGTAGGGTTGTTTGTTGCGCAAACTTTATGAACATGGTATATAAAATGAATGGATAAGTATTTATTTACGTGGAGAGTTATATTTACAAATTTTTTATTTACAAATTCTTACAAATTACACTATGTTCTCTCGGAATAATACTAAGTTACACTATATTCTTCCGGGAATACATAGTGTAATTTGCAAAAATTTGTAAAAAACAGTTTGTAAACGGATCTTTCCTCTTTATTTATATATAGGTTACGTTCTATCAACCCCAACATGAAACACGATACGATAAGATATTTTGATACATTAATTTTAAAAATATTAAATTTTAATATGTTAAGACATATTTTGATATTAAATAATATTTTTAATATATATAATAATTTACATATAGCAATTCATAATAAGTCATATAATCAATCAAATATTCAAATTTCATAACATAAATATAAAACAAAAATAATTTTGCATGCCTTATTAATTTTTCATGTCAAATTTAATAACAAAAAATATTTTATTTATAAATTAATTTTCCATATTTAGTTAAAAAGATAAAATAAAGTAAAATTTGAACATGCATAAACGTTGACTGCATGTCGAAACGTATCGGAGAGTTGAGAGCATGTCCAAAATGTTGACCGCTTGTCCATGTCCAACATGTGTCGGTGCTTCATAGTATATAGGGGAGTTCATGATATAAATATTTAAAAAAAATTATTAAATATAATTAAAAATAAATAAATGAAATTTAAGAATTTATCTTAAATATCAAAAATAAAAATTAAAGGTGAGTTTTTAAAAACATAATTCTAATATTTCATCTTATATATTAAAATATGTAACAGAATCAGAACATTACGCGTGTATAAAAAAAAATTAATTATGTAAAATAAGGTGACATATATAGGTAGCTTTACTCATACCAACAACAAGATGCCTTTTGATTGTATATCAAAGATCGATGTCACTTTTTATAAACTGAATTGATATAATTTCATAAGAATTTAAAAAATTAAAATGATGATACTTATAATTTCGAAAAAGGAAATTACAGATTTTTTTCTTTAGAAAAATAAAGCTATTTAATGTGCAACATAAGCAAAGATTTCTTTATTGGAAAATTGTAGAGCTCGAAGTAAGTAAAGCTAACTTACAAACTACTCAAGACTTTATTAGTTAATATTTCATCAAGTTAGACTCACGAGTTATTGTAATTTTACCTATTAAAAAAGGATAGGATATTGTGACACATAAATAATGTTACGCACAATGTTACGACCACATCTTAACTGTTGATTTCCGTCAATCAACGATTATCATTTATTGCGAATTAATAATTAATTAATGAGTTTGATTTGAAAAATGATAACCGTTGATTGGCGGAAATCAACGGTTAAGATATGGTCGTAACATTGTGCGTAACATTATTTGTGTGTCACAATATCCTATCCTATTAAAAAAATCTTAACTTACAATTTTTCAAAAAAAAATAAAAATATTTAACTTATTTCTTAAATGAGTTGAATTTGAACTCGACGAATGTAAGCAACTCTTGAAATAAAAATGAGACAAACTGGAGCCAAAAAGATAAAAAAAATAAAATCAAACGAGGCGAATTATTCTTATCAAATCGAGTCTGGGATAAGATCCCTTCACATGCATAATTGAGAACTTGGGCATATTGTAATAGAGTAAAGTCAATTGAAAAAAATTCTAATTTTAGACTTAGTTTGGTGTTGATGAATTTGATAAGAGTAAAAAAATGACAATTATATATAATTTCCATTTATTTGGCTACTAAGTCTTTATACTATTTTTATCATTATTTAAATCCTAACTATTTTCTATCTTTTAAGAGTAATCCCTACTATGATGGATGGGCTATAATACCATTCGGATTCGTCACAT